TTCGTACTCAATTAAAATAGATGAGATGAGATCTCTTCTGCAGACGGTTGAAAACCAAGGCTGGCAATGTGTAACGTCAGTCGACAGATCCTAATACTCAGATCTCTCGGCAGTGAAAGGAATACTTATCAATGCAGTAAGGAGGAAAAGAGAGCAACGAACTCGGTGCATGATAAACCGCACCGTGTAGTAAGCAGCATTAGTGCAGAAAACACCAGTAAAAGAGATAAAGAACAAGCCGAAGCCAAAACTACAAGTGGCCCGCGCTTTGCGGCGTATAACAATAAACATGTCATAAAATTCTATTTGTGAGTTAGGATAAATTAATTTTTTATTGCATTTTTTGACTGTCAAATTCTTACTTTATATTTTGATTTTATAAAATTTATTAAGAAACAGATACCACTTTGTCTTTGTGAAAGATTTTGAGATTCTTATTAAACGATTTACCATCTACATACTTTGTTTGATGTATTTTAGGTAATTGAAATAAATAATTTTAAAATAAAACTTATAAAAATACTCATAAAAAGTCAAAAATAAAATCACCAAAATATTCTCAATATATCTTCTTATAATTTAAATATACTATTATTATCAAGTTTTTAATTTAAACCATTTTGTCATCTCAAATGTGTGCTCTACAGAAAGATGATTTTATCATAGCATTTATCAACCAACTAATGAAAGTATATTGTAATAAGTGTTGAAAATGAAGTATATCTTAACTTTTGGTGTAATTAAAGTTTCTTAGTTTTTTAGTTCTTAAAAAAAGAATTACATAATTATTTAAAATACCATGTTAAAATTTTAATTGATATGTATTTAACTTGTTAACTTCACTTAGTGGGAGAGGTATGAGTCGATTTCTATGTGCCATAAAGCTATATATAATTGGTGTCTTGTTTGTGCAATTGATTAACGGGGCAATCATAAGAAAAGAAAGTTTTATATGGGGGCTCATTTGCATTGATCAAGATCAACTAATAATAATCATTATTATTAGTTTCTATCAATTCAGGCAAAGAGTACGTAAAACTATGTTTATGTTTAGAGAATTCCTTAATTTCATCGATCTTCAGTTACAAAAGTAGTATTTTCAAGGAAAGGCATCTTGCTGGATCTATCTATCCAAAACAATTACATATATTTTTCTTATAATAAAAGGAAAGTATATATCTTGGAACGAAATAATCACCCATTAGTTAAAACTTAGAATACTAAACTTGAATTTCATTTGTAACTAATCAATGTAATTGTTTTATTCTTTGTTTGGTCTGCACACAGAGATATAGCTCATGCAATTACCCAAACAAAAGAATTTCAATCTTCCTAATAATAATATCATTATTATCAGTTTTATTCTTTGTTTACTCTTAAGATATAGCTCATGCAATAACCCAAACAAAAAAAATTCAATCTTCCTAATTACTTGACATTTGTTTAGCAGGGTAACTCCATATCTCTTAGCTACACACGTGTAATATTCACTCCATACAACAAATGGTATCCAACCAATTAGACTTCCTTCCTCTTTCCTACTACAACCTCTAAGATCTAGTTTCCAAAATGTGACCCATTCTTACTCGTATAATCCCACAAATCCTAGAGGGAGAAGAAGATGATCGAGATGTTTGCAAGAGCAAGTTTCACCTTCTTGAGTCTCTGCATGCACAAATTTAAAGCAGCTAGCTGAAGGAATAGGAGCTGAGTTTCGAAATTGGAGGTGGGCTGGGTTTTGAAATTCAAAGAATGAGTTACTTTGCATGAAGCCTGAAAAGTACTGGTGCTTGGAATTTCTGTGGTTACTCCGTCGTCATTCAACTTCGTCGGAGTAGGAGAAGCATGCAAGAGTTAATCATGGTGGTGGATTGGGGTTTCCAATGTCAACGGGTCGGCCCAGAGAGAAGAGGTGTCCATCTCCCATGGCTTCAATTTTTGTCGCCCAACCTCGATTTGCATTTGCATGGTTGTTCAATTTTTTGTCATAATTCTCTCTGACTTGCCTCGCCACCATCGTGTAGGGGAAATGGGGAAATTTCTTTTGGGAATCGGTGAATTCCGATGAACTCCCTTATGTAATTTCAAGCGGCAGCAATCTGCGGCGGTAGTCTGCCGAGATGTGGCTATTGATTCGTTGGGGAGATGCTGGGAGAGAAGAGGTAGCCCAGCCAAGCGGTTTTACAGCGGTAGTGGCACTTTCCTAATCGCCAGCCGTTCGACAAAGGGGACATAGGAGGAGAAAGTAGAAATTTACGGTAGATGGGAAAAAGGTGTAGGGTACTTATGGTAAACTTCCATGTATCCTACTGGACCCCTTATACCAATTAGGCGCTATTTATATTATAATTCTGCTAAGAAACAGTAACCAATTTCTGGACAAGCTACAAATGCTATGGACTGTTATGTTGGACCCTGTCTCTCAACATGCACAAGAACAGCATCGAAAAGTAAATGGTGAAGAAATAGTATGCAGCAAACACGGTTCAGAGTTTAAGACTGTTCCTAGAGTCACTAACAGTGCTGCTAACAGAGTGGCACTTAAAGCATTGCTAATTTGTTATTGTTTCTCCTAGAATTAGTCTTTCGATTTTATTGACTGGCTTCATGAGGATGTCATTTTTAGGGGGTTACTAGGTAGTTTTGTTTATATAACTCTTGTCCTCTTTATCACTCGCAAATAAATAAAAAAAACACTACTAAAAAACTGACACACTAACTACTAAAAAGACCTTATATCGCCCTTATATAAAAATTAATAATAAATAAAAAATTAATAGCATTTTATGCCCTCAAATTAACAAATATACCCCTATACTATTTTCTTCACAGATGTGCCTTCTATTATTGATACGTAACAAACATATCCTTCTATCAAGATTTCTGTTACGTAGTTTAATTTTCATAATTTTAAAAGTAACAACAACTATTCATTTTTATCTTTCATTCTTTTGCCTCAGTCGTAAATCCCTAATTCTTACCCTCCCCTTTGACTATCGAGCATCTCCTCTTCTTCATTTACCCCGGCCGCTCAGCGCCGTTAATCGTCATCTTCGACAACACCGACCCCACATAATCCTCCACTGCACAGTTATACCTCCAACACCGCTACTCCACTGGCACTTAATTGTTCCTCGGCGGAGGCAGGAGCAGACTTTGGCGGGTGTCAACAATGAGCACAAACCAGTTCCAAATTTCAAAGGTCGGAGACTTCGGTGGGATGACTATCCCAGATTCTCCCTGCTCCGCCAATGGCAGAGCCTTCTTCCCCAACCCCTCTTATCGGCTGCGGCCCCAAATTCCATTTTGAAACCCTTAATTTCTGTGAACCTAGAAATTGCATTAAATCATCCTCACTTTCAATATATTTGTTACTTCGGCATAGTGTGGTTTTGGTGATTGTTTGGTTGAGTTGTATATTGTCCACAATGCGTCGTTTTTTTGAATTTTCTACACAAACAATACATGCATTGTTTGTTTGATTTGACGCAAACTATCACTTAAAATGAGTGATAATTAAATTTGAGATTGTTGTGCTATCTTTTTATGTGTTGCTTTTTTATATTATAAATAAGGGTTAATTGCAAGGATGGTCACTAGGTTTACTAAAACCGTTCATGTTTGGTCACTGCAAATATTAAATTCCATTCATGGTCACTACGATTAGTTCAATAGTTCAAGTTTGGTCACTCTCCGTTAGTCTTCGTTAGTTTTTGCTGATGTGGCAGTCAACTATTATAGTTGACCGTTAAATGAGTGACGTGGCCATTAAAAAAATAATAAAATTTAAATATTTACAATTTCCACCTCATTTTACAACTATTAAAAATAAAAATAAAACTTACCTCCTCCCCAACGCGGTCGCCACCACAGATCTCCGATTCAGCCTCCTCTCCTCCAACTCCTCCCCCGCGTTCACGCTCTTGGCGCCCCCATGTGATTAGAAGACTAATTTTTCGCTCAGATCTCGCGAATGAACGAACATGGAGTGAAGAAACCAAAAAAAGAAAAAAAAGGCAAGGTACCTGGAGAGCGAGCTGACGGAAGGCCTTTTTGACCTCGGATTCGGAGGCTCCAGGCTGGATCCTCAGCGTCTTGTAAGGATCCATCACCTAATAGGAAGACGAAGCAACACACAACATCCGCGACGAGTTCTGATTCCTTCCGGTGATAGTATTGTTCCTCGCCTTTCTCCGGCTACGGAACCAGGACGTCGAGGAAGATCCGCCGCACCCGCTCCCTCCGATCATTCCCATAGCCGCGGCCGTGCTAGCCATTTTTTCCCGATGAAATCAAAACCTTAGAGCTCGCGAACCAAAGGCAGAAGGGAAAAAAATCGAGAAGTAGTGAGCAGAAATGAGGACGAATGAATTGGAACGGGCGGGCAGGCGTTGAACTCGGTCAACGGGTCGGGTTTCGCGTGGAGGGAGGTGTGGCCGGTTATCGGGGAGAAGCTGGGGGTGGCGGTGCCGGAGGAAGCTCTAGCGCCGGAGGAGTTTAGGTATGCGGCGGCGATGGGCGAGATGGAGGGGGTTTGGGATGGGATTGTGGCGGAGGAAGGGCTGGTGGCGACGGAGATTGGGGAGCTTGCGGGCTGGGAGCGGTCAGGGGGAGCGAAGAGCGTGAACGCAGGGGAGGAGTTGGAGGAGAGGAGGCTGAATCGGAGATCCGTGGTGGCGACGGCGTTGGGGAGGAGGTAAGTTTTATTTTTATTTTTAATAATTGTAAAATGAGGTGGAAATTGTAAATATTTAAATTTTATTATTTTTTTAATTGCCACGTCACTCATTTAACAGTCAACTATAATAGTTGATTGGCACATTAGCAAAAACTAACGAAGACTAACGAAGAATGACCAAACTTGAACTATTGAACTAATCTTAGTGACCATGAATGAAATTAAATATTTGCAGTGACCAAACATGAACGTAAACCCAGTGAGGCAGTGACCATCCTGGCCATTAACCCTTGAAAATAAAGAATAAAAGTTACATTTTATCAACTATGCACCAATATATGACCCCAACAAGGAATCATATGCATTTTATTATCATAAACAGGCAAGCAGCAATACTCCTTAGCAAAGCAGTCCCAAGTTCTCACAAAACAAAAAACATCACCACACCAATAAGCTAAACTTCCACTTGTCCTCAAGACGATGGAGTAGAACTGGGGGTCACTGACCTAGAAACCGATCTAGAACTAGCAGCCAGACTAGAAGTGTTGGAACTCCTATCTCGGCCATAACTACCTTCCGAAGACAAACTGGAACTCTCGGATGATACACTTTTCCTCGAGCTCCTCCTTGCTGCCGGTGAAACACTTGGGGAGTAGCTCCTCCTCCTCGAGTATGAGTACCTTCTCGGGCTTCTAGAAATACTTAGAGAATAATGTTCCCTTCTGGATCGCCTTATTGGGCTGCGGGAGACGCTGCTTGTATAGTTTCTCCTTGAACTCCTCTCCCTCTCAGAAACATAGCGAGAGTGTCCTCGTCTTCTTCTTTCATACCGATCATCTGGTGAGCTATATCGTGAATCATAAGGTGTGTAAGATCTGTCCCGTCTCCTGACGGAGGACCTACTGTAATGTGATGGAGATCTTGAGTAAGATCTTCTGCGTGCATAGTAATACACTGGTGGTGAACGAGAGTAGGATCTCCTGCGCCTGTAATAATAACCAGGAGATCGAGAATACGATCTTCGAACCCTGCTGTGGCGACGATAATAAGATCTGCTCCTACTGCGATCAGATGAATAAGATGTAGACCTGCTTCTGCTTCTGCTTCTCGGATAAGGAGAATAACTTGGGGACCGACGAGGAGGTGAGGTGCTAATGGTTCTCCTTCGCACTGCAGAGTGAACAAAAGCTTATGTAATCCAATCTAAAAGCATCAACTTTAAACAACCTCAAGATAATATAAAATCAATAATAGTTGTGCTACTACCAGTCATACCATGCACTGTGCGAAGTCCCAGATACCTTCCAGGAGTAGGAGTTCTGCCTCTCCGCCTCTTTGCCTGCAATTAGTTACCATGACAAATGAGTGACGAAATTAGCAATACACACATACACAGCGAGAATAATGAAGGAGAAGGGCCTTTCTTCCCCCTCCCCCAATAATGTCTCTTCTAAAAATTTACAGAATAAACGAAAAAACAGATAAGCTAAAGCGCCAAAATGAGGAGAGAAATTAAGGGCATACAACCCTAACACAGTCTGACATTGTTGTTGTGTTTGATTTGTGTTTAGTTGTGCTATTTGAATTTGGAGAAGAGCTGCTACACACAGCTAACCTGTTGGCACAAAAGCTTCACACGGAAAAAGGAGCAAACAACTTTTAAAGTCATAATAGCTAATAAGTAACACCATCCAGAAAACTCAGCACTGAGACTCAAGATTTAGTTTGCTATATACAGACGTTGAGCATCAGGAACAGACGGCAGCAAACTTTACCTTCTCCACTGTTATCACACGACCTTCAAGCACTGATCGATCAAATACTTAAGGCAGCGCTCAGCTTCCTCAACTGTAGACATCGTTATAAACCCAAAACCACGAGAATCCCTCGTCCATGGATCAACAACGAGATGAACATCAGTCACCTATCCATGTCAAATTGACAGGGTGACGATAGTTAGAACTCTGGACGGTAACGGGCTTATGACGCTAACAAAAACTACCAATTGGGTGTCTTCTTCCATGATAACTAGAGTGCTTTACATACCTTTCCTTCAGTGGAGAAGTGCTTCTCAAGGTCTCTCTTTGTGATACGAGGCGACAAGCCTGTCACATAGAGATTGTTGCCAGGGTTCTCCACTGAAGGGCTCCTGCGAACCACAATGTCACCGTTAACCTCAAGACTTCCCGAGAAAACCATTCAATTGAAAGCAGTTAAACCGACCCACTGGTATAATTACCTTGATCGGCTTCTTGACCTTGACAAAGACCTGGACACAGATCTGCCGTATCTCTTGTACGGCGACGGCGAGCGAGAATAAGTTGATCTCTTAGAGTAAGACATCTGAGAAGCAAGAATAAACAAATGTCTCATGCGCAATGCACCAAAACCAGAATGGTTTACAGAACACCTAAAAGTTCGAATCCTTCCGCTACAATTGTCGAGCGCGAATGGAATTCGGTAAAACCAACAACAACTAACTCATCCCTACCATCTAAAATTGGCGCTCATCATGATCGTGATGAAAGTCGTTTACTGACAAATGGAAAAAACCTTAAATCCATCAATCCTTAATCCTTATCATGCAAATTCAGAAACTCTTTTTTTTATACAGAATTCAGAAACTCTTTAAAGTTAAAAGAAGGAATTCTCATTCCAGGGGAGAAAACCCAACGTTCAGCTACGCAGGAAAAAGAAAAATCAAACCGCCATGAATTTAAGGGACCCAAATCTATCATGGCTTTGCAACTCGAATAATCCCTAGAAGAAAATGAAGATGAAACGAATATCTTGATTCCACAGCCGACAAAAAGAAATTATCTAAATGGGATCGTCGACGTACCGTGGCCAGGAAAGCAAGCGATCCACGTCCAACGATTCAGCGATCTCCGGGAGAAACCTATTCAAAAGCGCAGGATAACTTCTTTTAAGTTGTGAAGAGGGCGAGAGGCTTATATTTAACCAGAAACCGGGACGTGAGATATCGGAGATGAGAAGCTTCTGGATAGATGGTAAATGACGAAACTATACTGGCCTGGCTGAGGTGGCCAGTGTCAGGGTGCTGTAAGCTTGTGGGTTTTTATGGAAATATATAGATGGAAAAGAATTTACGGCAGGGAGTTTTTTTTCCACCAAACACGTCATTTGTGCTTGTGGAGGCGGAGGATAAATTCCACAAATTGTCTTTTTACAACATTTACCACCAATATATCTATTTAAACGAGAATTGCTATTCGTCGTCCTAAATCATATTAAATTTACACAAATACCCTTATTTTTTATTGTTCGAGTGTATTGGAATGCAGATTGAGGATCACCCTGGACAGGATCAATTACAGGATCACCTTGCAATCTGCATTCGATTTTTGGGGTTGAGCTTGCTCTAGTTCTATGGTTGCCAGGTAAGACCGTCGACATTCCCTAAAGTGTAGAGTTTTTGTCTCTTGTAACTTAATTAAGATGGAAGGAAACCTCTCCCTGCACGGCAGGGACAACAACACAGAAAAGCAGCAGGTGGCGGGGAGTGAATTTGACCTAATCGCCTTTTTCTCTTTCCCTCTTTTATTCTCTTCTTCCCCCGTCATCGGCGATCGCCTGAAAACCGTCCAACCAAAAATATCCAAACTTTTAAGAACCAAATCATAATGCACACCCAACCCATATCATCCATTAATAAATCCACAGAACCCACAAAAGCTAAAACAGAGACGACCCGAAAGCTACACACCACTTCCCCTACCCAAATTCTCCTCTTCCTCCTCCTCCTCCTCCTCCTCCTCCACAGCAGCCATGGCGGCTTCGGCTTCTTCCACATTCTCTCAATCCCTTCTCCGCAGAGCAACAACAACATGTTAGAGGCAGGGAGCAGTTCTGGGTTTTGTCAAGAATGGGAGGCGGCGAGATTTTGGTTGCGAGAAGGGTCTAGAGTTTAGTTTTGATTTGGGGTAGGGGTATATGTGTCATTTTAGTGTAGTTTAGGGCGATAAAATTTAAATTTTAAGGCGACGAATAGCGATTCAGATTACGGGTTAATTGCATGGTTGGTCATTGAGATTATAAAAAACGTTCAAGTTTGGTCACTTGAAATATTTAAATCCATTGGTGGTACTTCAGTTTACTGAAACCGTTCACGTTTGGTCACTCTCCGTCCAACTCCGTTAACTTTTGCTTAGGTGGCGGTCAACTCTAAAAGTTGTTAAATGTGTGACGTGGAAATATAAAAAAAATTTAATTTTTTAAAATTTCCACCTCATTTCCAACTATTAAAAAATAATTAATTATTAAAATTAATAACAAACCGCGAATACTCTCTTCTCCGCCGCTGCGTTCTAGATATAATTAACAGATTCCCCTAAAGAATCTCAATGGCGGCCGCCACTCGAGTTCACAGTCTTCTCTACGGAGGACCTCCGCCTCAACAAAAGAATGAACTCATAATCCCAACCCAACCCCGAAGACCAAGCACGGCAGAGTAAGCTAGAGAAGGAAGAATCACCAGCACATCATAATCCCCCGTATCATTCATTCGCAAGTAAACCCTGGACTCAAAACCAAAGAACAACCCCTTAAAAAAAACCTTCGAAGAACAAGCATGACAGAGTAAACTAGAATCACCAGCACATCATAATCCCCTGCACCATTCATTCGCAAGTAAACCCTAGACTCAAAACCAAAGAACAATCCCTTCAACCCCACCCCGGAAGAACAAGCATGGCAGAGTAAACTAGGGAAGGAAGAATGACCACAACATCATCATCCCCTGTACCATTAATTCGGAAGTAAACCCCCTGGGGACTTGAAAATCCGGGCCGACATGAAGGGAACCGCCGAGCCCAAATTAGGGTCCTGATAGGCCGCCACGGCGGCCTTGGGCTTCCCGCCGGTGTAGTTGAGATACTTGTCGTCCGGCTGCCAGCTCCGCCTGTCGTCGCCGGTTTCCTCCTCCGTGGCGCCGCACGATATGATGTACGATGCCGCCTTCAGCGGGATCATTGGAGGAGGAGCTTCCTCCTGCGCGCTGGTCGTTATTAGTAACGTGATCAAGAGGACGGAGAATAGAAGAAGACATGTTCGATATTTCATGTCTCTAAAAGAACGGAATAAGTATTGGCCGGAAAATGAAAATGAGGAACAACGGAGAAGACTGTGAACTCGAGCGGCGGCCGCCATTGAGATTCTTCAGGGGAATCTGTTAATTATATCTAGAACGCAGCGGCAGAGATGAGAGGATTCGCGGTTTGTTATTAATTTTAATAATTAATTATTTTTTAATAGTTAGAAATGAGGTGGAAATTTTACAAAAATAAATTTTATTTATTTAATTATTTTTATATTGCCACGTCACACATTTAACACTCAACTTTTAGAGTTGACCGCCACCTAAGCAAAAGTTAACGGAGTTGGACGGAGAGTGACCAAACGTGAACGGTTTCTGTAAACTGAAGTACCACTAATGGATTTAAATATTTCAAGTGACCAAACTTGAACTTTTTTTGTAATCTCAGTGACCAACCATGCAATTAACCCATTTAAAAACTATTGACATGTATATTGTAAGGAAAACAGCGACCCGTCTGAGACTCAGGCGCGGCCGCTAGTTATTGATTTTTTAATAAATTCCAGCGGCGACGCCCGAGACTGGGGCGTTGGGGCCTTTTATAAAGCGTCAGCGTTGGCGCCCGAGACTAAGGCGGGTTCGTTGGCTCCCTCATCCACTCCAGCACCATTTATACTCACATTTCCTTCAATTCTTCACCACCAAAAAAATCAACGAAGTTTTAGACGAGAGAAGCTCTGGTTGCTCTCTGGTTGCTGGGAAGATAGCTAATAATAGGTAAGAGACGTGTTTATTTTTTTAATTATATTCTTCAAATGCTATAATGATTTTGTTTAGTTAGTAATTAGTGAGTTTGTTTTTTATGTGGTGATTTTAGAAGATTTGAACTAGCTGTTCGGTGAAAATCAGAGAAAGTAGAGGACAATTTGGGCGTCCATTTCATTGGCGGTAGAAGTTTACAGTTGACTGTTCCATCAAGGGTGAACTATCAGAAACTTTGTGATAATCTACTTCAGAGAATACGACGTAAAGACGAAGCAGTACAAGATAGTGATGTGATTATAGGTTTCACTTACTGTCTTCCAGAATGGCAGAATGGTGTTTTATTTCATTATGCGATGCCTATTGTGGATGATGATAGCTTGAATGTGCTTTGGAATTTTATGGCACAAAATCCTTATTGTTTGGGTGCTGAGATACATGTTAAGCTCGGTGAGGATCAGGGTGGAGAGAAAAAAAGATGACACATGGAGCGTGCCGTTCGATCATGACTATGATGACGGTGATGACGGAGAGGAGGAAGATGATGATGATGATGATGATGATGATGATGATGATGATGATGATGATGATGATGAGGGAGAACAACCTAATTATCCTCTATATTTTTACTTGCAGTGTAATAAAGAGGACGACGAATTATCAAATGCTGATTCATATGGCGTAATTCCAATGCCTATTGTTGCTGGTTTTGATGGAGAATTCTACAAGAGTCAGATATTTCACTCGAAACAAGCTGCACAGGTGGCGATTAAACACTACGCACTACAACGCAACTTTCAATATAACGTGGTGGAGTCGTCACCTTCAGTCTGGAAGATCAAATGTTTGAAGCACAAGGATGAAAATTGTTATTGGATGGTGCGGTTTGGATGTCGAGATGTGGAAAGCGAATGGATGGTGAGAAAGGCCGAGTTGGTGCATTCTTGTAGCAGTACGACTCAAGCGACGGATCATCGTCATCTTGATGTCGACGTTATATCTGAGTCTGTGAAACATTTGGTACGCGCCCAACCAAATCTAAGTGTTCTAACTGTGCAGGCCGAGTTGAAAGATAAGTTTAATACGCAAGTTACTTACAAAAAGGCTTGGTATGGGAAACAAAGAGCATTGGAGTAGTTGCATGGGAATTGGGAAGAATCCTACGATTATTTGCAAACATTCTTGCGGGTGGTAAAGAGAAAAATGCCAGCATCGGTGATTGATTGGGTAAGAGTTCCTTCAGCTCAACCAGGTCATTCAATATTTCAGCGAGTATTCTGGGCTTATGGACCTTGTATAGATGGATTCAAGAATTGTCCAGGAGTCATGGTTGTCGATGGAACATTTCTTAATGGAAAGTATAAAGGAGTGCTACTCATGGCGAGCTCATTTGATGTCCGGAAGAAGATTTTTCCAATTGCATTTGCCATAGTGGAGAGCAAGAATACTGATAGTTGACCATGGTTCATAAGAAAAGTTCAAGGTTTGACCGATCGAAATGATGTATGTATCATCTCAGATAGATATGCAGGACTCTATGAAGCCATGAATAACATCGGAAGAGGTTGAGAGCGGAGGTGGTGCATGCGGCACTATGCAAGCAACTTGCAAAGGAAGACTAAAAGCAGGATCATGTATAATCAACTTTTTCGAGTTGGTAAGCCTTCATTGTTATAGTTATTTATTGTTATGTATTATTTATTTTCATTTAAATTTGTAATGGATATATATGTATCTAACTCGTGTGGTTATTTGTTGTGTTAGCCGGAGAAAAACGGTTGGAGAAGTTCGATCGTCAAGTTGAGAAATTTAAAAAGATGGACGTTGATAGAAATATTTCTTGTGATAACTGGGTGGATCAAAATCAAATTTGTTGGAGCTTAGCACATGATAACTATAATGGTGGGCGTCGATGGTCTATCCTGACATCTAACATGGCAAAGAGCATCAATGGTTTTAAAGGTATTCGTTCACTTCCTATAGCTTCTCTTGTGCAACATTCTTATTGGCGATTATTGGAGAAATTCGATAAGATGAGGTTGGAGACAGAAGCAGAGATAAGAAATTGTCATTCACAGTTACCAAACCATGCGAAGAACTAATGAACCCGTGGGCACAAAAGGCAGTTGGACATTCCATGACGGGGTTGATCGACGTCAGGGCATCTATGTAGTTCAGACTCCTCTCAGCAATTTCAACATGACGGGTTCGAACACACTAACAGTGCACTTCGAA